CCGATCTCTGAGGAACTCCACTAGTAACCTCCCTCCAGCCTGACAGTTCACCTTTCAGTACGACTCATTGTAGTCTCCCCTTTAGCCAGTTCCTTATCCACCTTTCAGTTTTCATATTGATCCCCATCTTTTCCAATTTAGCTAATAATTCCCCATGTGGAACCATATCGAATGCCTTACTGAAATCGAGCATGTCACAAATGGGCTAGTTGTGGTAATTGCACTGGAAAACACAGCCAAGTTTCTGTGTCAAGCAGTGTCTGAGTTATCGTGTTGTCAGGAAATTGAACTGGTTCTATAGTTCTGTGTGTTAATTAAGTCATAATACTCATTCCCCAGTGCTTTAAAAATTCATATTTGTAGAAAACTACACTTTCTACCCCATATGACTTTACAGCCATCAGATGAATTAATTAAAATGAAAACTCTTATTATCCTTTCTTCTATTACAGATTTAAAAAAAGTATATAGAACTTGATCTGCCTTTTCTCCATCTCCACACACTTTAAAAATCAGTACTGAAGACATCCTGCACAACACAATGTGCTTCATAAGCAAACATAGTTTATAAAATAAGAGAACATAACAAACCATACTATACAAAATGGGATGCTTAAGTACAGTAGTAAAGAGGGAATGTATTCCAAGTTTTCTAGCCCTGCTGATCATAGTTCATAGTACCACAAGATTATATGAAGTGCAGTTAAAGGCTGATATTTTTCAACATTTCTTTAGTCTGTAATTTTTCTTCTTGCTTATATTCATCAGCTCCATGTATATTGAAAACATACAGATTTGCTTAGTCATGGACCCGTCTTTTCACAAATTAACTGTATCACTGGTAGAAATTGTTTTCCATTATAATGTGACACACCCTACCCACATTCATGGTGAGGGCTAACCTCTTACCTTCTGCCTCTACTAGAACTGTTAGTACTCCATTTCTAAGTGTTAGTTCCTTTAATCTCCGATTCAGAAATTGGATACTAAAGAACCAAATTAAAGGGGATATTCTGTGAAGCTTTGGAGAGTTTTACATTCCAAAGATTTTGATAAAAGGAAGCATTTAAAAGTAAGATCATCTGTGGTTATTGTGGCCTCCAAGATGTGTTAATTAGGATCATTAGCCTTCCAAGTGATTGTATAATCATAGTCCTCTTTCTCTCTCAATTAGAATGTGCTAACTGTAGATCATGGCTAATGAAACTATTAATGAAAATTATCTTGGTACTAAAGTAAATGCTTCACATATTTGTTCTAATATAATAAATCCGTGTTATAACTATCCAAATTTTACACCAGATTGTGAGCATCTTACTTCCATTGGTGAGCAGCCACTTGCATAAGTAGTCCCAGTGACTTCAGTGGGAATTTTCATGTGTGTTAACAGTTTACCAAGGGGAGCTGGTGTGTGTGTGTGTGTGTGTGTGTGTGTGTGTGTGTACGTACAATCGTGGGCCTTTCTTTGCAGTGATCTCAGTGTAGTGATTTATAAGCTAAATAAATCTGGTTTAGTCGGTCCTGGTGTTATAGCAGTTATTTTTTGCAATGTTTTTTAGTAAAAGATTTAGTAACCTTTTCTTCACAGACTCCAATGAATCAAGCCTCAACTCGTTCCCACTGCATCTTCACCATTCACATCTCAAGCAAGGAACCAGGATCTGCAACCATCCGACGCTCCAAGCTACACTTAGTAGACCTGGCTGGTTCAGAGCGTGTTGCAAAGACTGGAGTTGGAGGCCAACTCCTGACAGAGGCCAAATATATCAATCTGTCATTACACTACTTGGAACAGGTAAAATTAGCAGAGTGTGAAACTCTGTCTTTTACTTATTTATTTATTTTTAGTCATTTATATTGCTTTTGAAATCTTGATACCTATCTCATTTAGTTTCAGGACCATGTATTATTGCAGTGTTTCTCAACCTTTTCAGGTTGTTAACTTCTTATTCAAATTCAAAATTTTCAAATCCTTCCCCCCCACTTTACATTTACATTAAAAGTAAGACTACAAAATGTATCCGTGCTAACAATGCTAAACCCTATATAATTTATTTGTATTTTCTTTTGCTATAGAGACTCTTTTAAGGGGAAAATGCAGTGCTTGATACTTTTTCAGATGGTATTACAAGCCTTTGTTGGGAAATAGGTGATATTTTTTGAGTTGCTGAAGTTCAATACTGTTGATTTGTCTTAAAAAAGACAGACTCACAGGAAGAAAGAAAAGAATAGCAGAGGAGAGAAGATGTAGATTCTGTATCTGTCTTTTTTTTTTTTTTACTAGCAACATAGTTGCTGGAAAATTACAGGCATGGCATTTGGTTTATTAGTCACTCTGAGTCTGGATAGACTTTTGCCAGGTTACTCAGGCATTGTTTTTAGCATCCCTTGTTGGTTATAGCAAATGAGTTCAAGGGTAGTTTCATCCTACCTGGCCTAACTGAGTTTTTATTTGATAGAAGTTAAAAAAGAGAGACAGAAAGGAATTAGGTGGTGATGGAAACCTGCAAATTAGGGAGAGGAGTAATAATAAGAACCTTTGGTTCACATCCTAGCTATCATTCGTGATTCAGCTGGTCCTGTTGAAATGGTGCTGTCATCTGATTTCCTTTTCTCGACTGATTTGGTCAGGATCTCTTTCAGGAAAATGATGTGATGGTAAATGTCAGGGTCTCAACAGGCTGGGGGAAGGGCTGATGACATCCATTATGATGCAGCTTCTTGACATTCAATGGTCCTATGACAGACCTCTGGGATATAACCTGGACTGTGAGTCCATTGTGTCCCCTTTTACTCTCTGGATCAGGGTACCTCTCACTCTGCTCTGCTAGCGACAAGCAGCCCCTTCAAGCTTTGCTCTAACATGTGAAGGCACACCCAAAGTTACATGCATGCTCTCTCAGCCTCCCATGAACTATGCACAGGGAGACCTCAACAAACTCCCCTCAGGCGCAGCCTTGCACCCCAGAAATATACCATCTTGCACAGCTCAAGACCTCCTCTTGAACAATGCAAGCTTATTAATGGGTTTGCCATTTCATCAAAGGATAGTGGACATGCACCAGCTTTAGTAATCTGATCAGATCTCCCAAGCACTCAGGACAAATTTACTGGTTAAGATTAAATATTAAAATAAATGTATTAGCCACAGAAAAATAGATTTCAAGTGACTATAAATGGTAGGCATAGAGGTCAGGAATAGTTACCTAAGAAATAAAAAGTAAACACGCGTTGTAAATCCTAAATTTTATCAGACCAAGTAAAATTTGAATCAAGCAGCTTTTCTCACAAGCTGACAATTCTTAGTACACAGGCTGAATTCCTTTCTCATTCTGGGACAAATCTCCCCAGTTCAAAGTCTTTTTCTTCCCAAACGTTCTTGTTGCCTTCAGAATAAGTGGGAGAGGAGAGAGGGGTGATCTCATGATGCCACTGTCCCTTATTTTATACCCTCCGCTCATGTGCCTGTAAAAATACTGGCTCAAACATGAAGTCAAGTATCACATGTCCTGAGGCCTTGCTAAGTCATGGAGTTAAGCAGTCCCCATTGTGTGGAGCTCAAGCAACTGTCTCTTATTGAATTTTAAATCTCTTGTTTACAATGCCCTGGCTGGTTAATGACTGGTGATGGTCTCTTAACACCCATCTGGGTGCGGGTTACTCCTTTGTTGCCACTGGAGAGCCAGTTGTGGGCATCTCCCAAACTCTCAAAATATTTCAATAACAACCATATAGCAAAATCTCATAACTCCATATACAATGATGATATACATATTTTGACAAAACAATGAGTTTCAGCAAATCATGACCTTTCATATAATACCTTACAAGGCATTCTTTGAACAAAATATCATAACTATATACAAGTGGTGAATATGGGGGTTACAGGATACTATTTTGAGGTACAGTATGTCACAGGTACCTTTCTTCTTCCTCCCCTTGTTCCCTCCTTCCAGCAAACTTACATAATTGTCTTATGTTCCCCAGAACAATAGTGTTTTGAAAGAGACTCTCCTCTCACCAAATAAGGATCTGGTGGTTCCATTTATAGACATTTCCTCTCATCTTAACATGTTGTTACCCTCCAGGAGCCTTTTCTATTTCAATTAATGCTTCTTTTGTAAACCATTGTTACATACTATTTCTATGTCTCCCTGAGTTTTTACCTTTTATTCACTTTGGACAATCCAAAGCTCCCACCAAGGGTAAAAGAATCAGCAAAATAACATACTGATCAATAAATTACTATTGCTGTATATATGTTTTGTTGTTGCTATGTTAATAAGTTGGAGTAATTATAGTTTGGATTGTCTTTCAAAGGCCCATTTGACTGTAGATGCAAGCCCTCACACCTGCTAGAGGACTGAAGTTCTTTTTGAATTTTAATACATAGTATTGTTTCCATGGTCCAGTAAACACTATGCCTCTTGCCAAACTTTTGTTGGTTTTGGATTTCTGCTAGTGAATACAGTACTTTTTCCAAAAGTTTCATTTGAAACATGTATATGTCACAATAACAGGGTACATCTTGGCTCATGAGGCTGACATTCAGTGAGACAAATGGTAAAAAGAATGAAGAAATGAGCAGAGCATATTATATAACTTTGTACCTCATGAGATTTTTCCCTTTAATGCATGGGGACTTATCCCACTGCATACAGCATTTGGCAAAACGGTCAAGTGACAAAAAACCTCTTGAAAACAGGCTATTTTGTTTTTCTGAAGCTGGGAAATATCAACCAGTTATTCCACTAACCAGTGAGGAGATTGTGGGGGGGGGGGAGGGAGTGGATTTTTTTTAAACAAAAGTCTTATACCCTGTTTAACTTGCAGTGAGAGGCACACATGAAGGCCATTAAAGTAGCTAGCTAGTAAAAATGATGCTGTTGATACTACTGGCTCTTTTCCACCTTCCTGCATTCTGGCCTCCTCTGCTTGGAATTGTGATATTATGAAATACAGAGCAGTCAAAATCCTTCCTCTAGATTCACTGGATTCTGTTTTATGATTTATTTTATTTAAATACATTAGAAATACTTTCAGGAACAGAGGGAGAGATACATCCTTTCAAGATACACCTCTACCTCAATATAACGCTGTCTTTGGGAGCCAAAAAATCTTACCACGTTATAGGTGAAACCGCGTTATATTGAACTTGCTTTGATCCACCAGAGTGTGCAGCCCCGCCCCCCCCAGAGCACTGCTTTACCGCGTTATATCCGAATTTGTGTTATATCAGGTCGCGTTATATCGAGGTAGCGGTGTATCTTAATACTATACTCTGGGGTTTACTTAGCTCTACTGTTAAGGCACAAGGTGAATATATACTGATTCTAACCAACCAAGGATTGCAGAAATCCCTTTAAAAGTGTATAGCCATCATATTCTTATTGGTGGTATAAATTGAATTTATATGTGATCTAAAAAAACCAATCAGATATGTGTATTTACTGTACATTCTAAATATGGATTTAGTACCACAGGTAGCCAGTCAGAAAACACAGTCTGTCGAGAACCTTTCATAAGTAAGGAAATTCATGAGCCAGTATATATTCATCAGACAATATGTGGAAATCTAAGGCATCTTGAGAAAAAGTGCCTACTCTCAATTTATTCCATTTTCCTCTAATCTGCGGTGTTTAAGGTCCTTTCTCACACTCCCAGATCCTTGGAACACTCCAGCTGGACTTTAAATAGACCTTAATATGTCTTTCTGTCTGCTGTCTTACAGGTGAGACATCTTTGTACAAAGCTTGACAGCAGACAACACTAAAATTGAGAACAGATTTTTTTTTAAATCCATATCAGTTTAAATTTGACTTAAAGATGAAAAACTACCTTTTAATTATGGTCATGATTAGATAAGTGACGATGCAAAAACAGGTTTCATCTAGGGCAACTGAACTGCTCCATGTGTGTATTCAGAGTAATATCTATTTATTTTTCTGACAAAAATAAGTTTTGCCTACTCATCATTTCTATCTTACATGAGCCTTTGTGAGGCTAAATTTGTTAATGTATAGAAAGCACTCTGAGATGTTCAGATTGAAGTTTCTATATAAGGTCAAAATATGATTAACATTGTTATTATTTTATTACTTCTGCTAGCACTGCAGAATAAAGACAGTTTTGGGAGGGCAAGCTGCACTCTGTTGTGGATCATATATCACTAATAGAAATGGTTATTAAGGGACTGATCTAAATCCCATTTAATGTAGTGCAAAGATTCCTATTAGGTTCAATGAGAATTGGACCCGAGAGCCCTGATTTTGCAATGAGCTCTACATAAGTGCACACACAGATCTTATTGCAGGCTCAAATTCTGACTGAATTCTGACTGCAAAAGCTTTTACTGACGGTTCTAATGCATGAGCCTGAAAGAGTTCAGCTTTATTCTCATACTCACAATTAAGTTTGCAGTCAAATCAATGTATGTCACATCCAAAGGTTTCATATAATAAAATAATGTAAAATTAATATATAATTTTTAAAATTATGCTTGTAAAGGTATTTTGGATATGGTGTGACATACTGAAGTGGTTGGTTACCATACTGTATAATCCCAAAGTATGCAGTCATAAGGTAATAATTACGTGGTATGGAAGATGCTTCAGCCAAGCAGATAATATTTTTCATAGAAATCATTTTTTAAAATCTGAATGATAAAGAAGTGTTCTTATGCTGATTGCATAATGAGGCTTATTAAAATAATTGGGAGAAGAGCTACTGTACAAGTATCTGGACAGTATTTTGGAGAGAAGTTTCCATTAAGACACTTTATAATGAAAGTGCAAGCCAGTACTTGCTAAGATGTTTAAAATAAGAATAAACTTTGTAGGGGAGGGAAGTGCCTTGACAGCATATTGCACAAATATTGTATATACATCATAATTCTTCTAAACTTTAATCTAAGTTACTTCATTCCAGCAGTTACAAAATAAAAAAGTAAAGTATTTGCATATAAAAGTGCATGTATACAATTTTTCCTTTTTTCACCCTTCTTTGTTTTTAAACTCTTTGAGCTAGGATCTATGTCTTCCTTCTCTCTTTTATTGTGTTCAGCACAATGGGGCCCTGAACTTGATCAGAGGCCACCATAATAATATATATTTATATTATTAATAATAATGATACATCCACAAGAGTGGACCCCCTTTGAGGATCCAGGCCATATGCAGTATTACAACATAAAATAATGAAATATAATGAGTTGGCTGGTTTGATGAATATAACTAACAACCGCTATTTAAAATCTAATGTTGAGAGAGTACATAATGGTATATGATAATAAATAGGTTTTATTGGCATGAGTTTGCAAAGATTGCATTACTTAAGTATGTTGAAGGCACTAAACTCTTATTAATAAAACTTTAACACCACTATATGCCACAATATATTATGTTTATGCTACATTTTATAGAAAAGATATTCTATACAATTTTGTAGTTTAGATTTGTTATAGATACTATTTTAGTATTTTTCCTTGGGTAACAGGTGCAGACACCAGAGTGACAGAAAAAAAAGAATAAAATTTTAAAACATCTAAAATGATCTAAATAAATGTATTGTTCATCAGGGAGCCATGATTTCAAGGTCTGGTATTTTGCAACCTCACAAAACTAGATACAGATGCTTTAAACCATTGGTAGGAATGGATTTCCATCTTTCCAAAGGCATAAAGATGTTTCTAGACCTAATGAATTCTAAAATGTTGGATTTAAGGTGTACAGATTATCTAATGGTGTACATTGGAGCTACGCCAATTTATGCTGGGAAGGGATTTGCCCTTAAAACTGTTTCTAGTCAAAGAAATGGCATTTATTTTGCCACCCTTAACTGTCCCACAAGTACTCTTCCTTCTAATCCATCGCTACCAAGATTACTAACATTCCAGACTGATAAGCAGTTTTCAAACAGCCACCATTTAAAGAAAAAAAAGTAAAAAATGTCTCCTCCTTTTACCCCAAATGTGAAATTCCCTCCCAATTTCCATATTACTTTGACCCAAGATCCAGGATGGATATTCATTAATATATGGTTCTTTAATTTATAACATGTCTGTAGAAAAGAAGAAGTTTAATATATGGGATATCATTACATGATCAGTAGCATATAATTTCTATAAACCGTTATAGTGATAATAATATACATATGATGAACTCTGTATTTAGGGCCTTATCCTGTTCCCATTCAAGTTCATGATTTAATTTACCTTGACTTAATTTTTGCCTTTGGGCCCTGATTCTGCACACACACTTATGCATGTGAGCAACTTTATGCATATAAGTACTTATTGGCTTTAATAAAGCTGCTCATGTGGCTAAAGTTATGTTTTTACATGTTCAGAGGCTTGTTTTGAACCTGTATTATTTCTCACCTGCTCTTTGCTCATTGGTTTATATCATATAGGCCTACATTTTATATTCCACACTTTAGAATATATTTTAGACAGCTGGCATGTTAAAAAAAAAAATTAAAAGTGTCAAAATGTTTCTTTCTCCTCAAATATGCAAACGTTCTCCCTTAAATTACAGTAATCCAAGCTGACAAATTGCAATCCTGGATTAGTGGCATTTAAGAAGGTCTATTACTTTGTGAACTACGAGCACTAAAAACATTTGCATTATTACTGAAGAGATGGAAATGCCCTCTTTATAATGGTGTAAAGGCAAGGATGATTTTGTGGTTAATGCATAAGACTGCACCTTAAAAGACCTGGGTTCAGTTCCTGGCTTTTCCAAAGACATCTTGTGTGACCTTCTAAACGTCATTTGGGCTTGTCTACATGAACATTTAGTTTGCAAACAAGATGGGATGTTAATCTACCCCGCACCACCCTGCCATGCACTAACTGTCCGTATGAACCTTGCTGTCATGTATTAACTGATCATTAGTTCATTTTGGTCTAGTCCCATTTCAAAGAGGACTAGATCAAAGCAAACTAACAAACTGTTAATGTGCATCAGCAGGGTCCACACAGATAGTTTAGTTGGCAAACTAGTGCAGAATAGATCCACACCTCATCTTGCTGCAAACTGATTGTTTTTGTAGATAAGCCCTTAATTTCTCTGCCCTCCAGATTGTCCTATTTATACTCAAAAGTCTCTTACAACTCACTGAAGAAGGATGATCTTGTGGTTAAAGTATTACACTGGAGTTAGGAGAATTGGGTTCAGTTACCAGCTCTGTCACAGACTTCCTCTGTGAACTTCAACAAGCTATTTAATTTCTCCGAACCTTGGTTCCCCATCTATAAAATGGGGATAATACTTCCTTCCTCTTACCTTTTGCCTGACTTGCCTGTTCAGAGCATAAGCAAGGACTGTTTGTTATTATGTGTATATGTGCAGCCACTGCCTAACAAAATGGGGGCTCTCGGAACTTCTGTCATATTAATAATAAAATGATTTGCTTCTATTAGATTGCAAGATACTTAATATTAACATCTAGAAAAGCAATTTAAGATAGTTTTTGAAAGTATTAAAATGAATACTGTTTATTTGCCCATCTAAGGCTGCTACCATAAAACTAATGGTAATAAGGAACCTGGGCTTCTTGGGGAGAGATAATAGAGAATATAGTGACAATATTAATAATAATAATTAATAAAAAATAAACACTCCAAAATTTTAAAATTACTTTTTTTCTGAAAATGTGTCATAAACAAAATATGCGATGGCATATGGTATTTATTCAATTTTGTGTTGCCCTCTGCATAATGACTCCTGGCTTCACTACTTGTGGGGATAGAACGATGTCAAATTTTTACCAATAAAAACCTTTATTCCACCACACACCATCATGGAATCTTTGCTACTTCGTAATAATTAAATCTTTTAATGTAAATATCTGACAAGAGAATCAAGAATGGTAGGTGTATCGTTTCCTTTTTGGCTATGTATCTGTATTTAAAGTGAACTATGTCTTATTTTATATCTTTTCAGCAGTACATTAAATAGTATCTAGCCTTGGAGGGTTTTTTTTCACATGCACAAAGTTTCAAGAGAGTTTACAAAAAATACACGAACAAGCCCAATTAAGAGAACAATGGGATTTTGAAAATATTGTATGAAAAGGAAGCCTTTACTTTGGCAATGTCTACATTTCAACTTAGTAGTAGGCTAGAGGAAAATACCTTCTATCAGGGCCGCCCAGAGGGGGGGGCAAGTGGGCCAATTTGCCCCAGGCCCTGCAGGGGCCCCCACGAGAGTTTTTTGGGGCCCCTGGAGCAGGGTCCTTCACTCACTCCGGGAGCCCCAGAAAACTCTCGCGGGGCCCGGGCCCCCAGAGCTTCTTTTGCTCCGGGTCTTCGGCGGCAGTTTGGCGGCAGGGGGTCCTTCAGCTCCAGGACCCGCCGCTGAAGTGCCCTGAAGACCCGCGGTGGGGGGTCCTTCCACCCCGGGACCCGCCGCCGAAGACCCCAGGCCTCCTGAATCCTCCGGGCGGCCCTGCCTTCTATTAATTTAATTTAGTTCTTCATGAAAGTTGCTGTCATATTAGTGAATCCTAAGATTATAAGTTTATCATGTGTCCCAGTTTCCTTTTTGCTGAGAAATTGCAAAGCAAAACTAGAACACAATGAAATCCACTTTTGTTTGCCCTGCTAAGACATACATGCGTGTATGAGTAATAATAGCTACTTGTGCTTAAAGTTAAACATGTGCATAAGTCTTTGCAACATCAGGGCCTCAGATTGCAGAGTAGGCGTTTCCTCTTCTTGTGCATATGGTACATACATGTGCAGATTTAATTCTCATGTATTGCTGCTCTTATTTTAGGTAATAATTGCCCTAGCAGAGAAACATCGATCTCACATTCCCTACAGGAACTCTATGATGACTTCGGTGCTCAGAGACAGCCTGGGAGGAAACTGCATGACCACCATGATTGCAACACTCTCTTTAGACAAAAGAAACATAGATGTAAGTCATCCCTTTCTGAACTTGTGAATTTGTTAATATTTGTTTTTCATGTGTGTATGCTTAAATTTCTGACACACTGAATTTTTAAAAATCTATCTTGCCAATGCCTCCAAGGTGCAATCCTGTCAATGGAAATTGCAGTATGATAGACTAAAATCATCACGTATGTCCACTACATAAGGGATCTATGTGTAATTGACTTCAGATTTCAAAGCCAAATTCTGATCAATTATGTGGGTGAATATAATCTCTGTCTATAATATTATAGTACCCTTGACAGATCTTACAAGATATGTACCAGTATTAAATTAGCTGGGTTCAGAATCAGGCTCTAATATATCCTTTGTGAATTGTGTTATTCTTTAAGTAACCTCAGATGAGGGGAAAAAGTGATGCCTAATGATGAATAGGTGAACACTTAAAACCAGCTTCCTGATGATGAAGAAATGTGTGAATTGTGAGTAAGATTTGGCAAGGAATTTCCCCCAGGGCATGTTGATAAGGAATGCTGGTGCAGTCCTGCCCCCCTGAAGTCCATATCAGCACTCCCATAGACTTCAGTGAGGCCAGGATTTCACTCTTTGGGTATTGGGGGAGGGTTATGGGAGGGGTGGGTTGATTGGGGTGCTGGCAGGAGTGTGTGCACATGTTTTGGTTTGTTGGCCTTTCTGTGGATCAAGTTGGTTTATCTACCTGTCTTTCCTGTCTTTTTTTTAAATTTAGACATGTTCTAGGTCAGTGATTCTCAACCTATTTATCATTGTGGGCTGCATATGTGGCCAACAATGTGTTACCTGGGCTGCAGATTGAGAACCACAGTGCTCCCCCAACCCTCCCACAGACCCCTATGCCCAGTGCCCCTTTCTTCCCCCGCCCAGAGACACCTCTACAGAGTGGGGGCGTGGGGTGGGCGTCAGGAACCCCACACCCCACCACGCGGGGCTGTGTGGCAGCCCCGACCCCAGACCCCACTATGCGGCAGCCCCAATCCCGGACCCCACCCTGGGGGGCCGGGCAGCAGCCCCAGCCCTGAACCTGGATCCTGCTGTGCGAGACCGGGTGGAGACCCCAGACCCCGCCATGCAGCAGCCCCAGCCCCAGCCCCATCTCAGGACTCTGCCATGTGGGGCAGGGCAACAGCCCCAGCCCCGACCCTGGACCCCAGAGTGTGAGGCTGTGCAGCAGCCCTGATCCAGGGCCCGACCAGGCTCCAGTTGTGTGCTAATTGGGCCGCATGCGGCCCGAGGATTGAGAATCACTGTTCTAGGTATTCTGCAGGTTGTGCCTGGAGGAGCTATAATCTAGTTAAATCCTAACCTTCCATAAAATCAGAACATTTTAAAATGAACAAAAAACAAGTTATTCTTAGACGTATAGTGGAAAGAACTACACCTGGAAAAGGGAAATAAGATGATCTTTTACTAGCTGAAGCACAAGAGCAGATACATTTCTAATGCACTTAAGAGTTGCGAACAGGTAATTGTGCAGGCATAACTTGTAGCTGCACATGCAAACTACATAATTCTGTCTATGCAATTACCTGTGTTGTGTGCTGCTGTCACCCATTTTGTACATCCAGTCACCAATTTGTACTCTGGTAAGTCAATTTCGTATTGGAATTTAGGCTCCTGTTTAGAAATACTTGATCCAATCACTGAATCAGCCAGAATGAGCCAGGTAATAATGGTACAGTGAAAGTTTTCACTTTCTTGCTGTAATGTCTACTAGATACTACGCTTTATTCATTTGGGCTCAAATTTTCCAAAAAAAATTTAGTCTGAGGCAGACGTACAACAATAAAATTTCAACCCAAATGAATAAAGTTTGGTAATGTTATGTAAAACTTAAAATAGGATCAATTATAGTAAGAAGTGTTGGACAACAATAATAGGTGGTGCTGCTAGTCCAGTCTATAATATGTAATTTAATAATTAAATATGAAATCATTGTGATAGGAAATTTTTTAGGATACCTGTCTTGAAAGGAAATGCTTTGGATTTGCCTCAATATTTATTTTTGAAAAATGCCACAGAATGTATTAGAAGTTGTTTATCCTGTAACTGCTTTCTGTTCTACTGATGTTCCCTTTCATTTAGAGGGCTAGATCCAGCGAGTGGTGTGGGGATAGGGGATACTTTCTCTTTGAAAGTCCTTTGACTTTGCAATTTGCTTTCCCCTTAGCTCACCAAAGTCTGGATTTGTTAACTTTTTGCTGCAAATCCTACCTCTTTTTTGTGAGCATTGGTGATAAAATGGGCTGATGAAGTTGGATATGGATGCCTTTATTT